CAAATAATAATTTAATAGTTGGTACAAAAATCTATGGTAGAAACTTGCTTGAAAATTTTCGTATATTTACTTTTCAAATATATGGTTGTCGTTAATGGTTTTTTAAATATTTGGTGGGATGTACATAACCAGTAATAGTTGCGAAAAATACTTTAGCAAAGTGAGCCTTACAGATAATTATATCGATAATTACGACTAATTATGAAACCTAAATTTCAATTATGAAATCTAGTTAAAAATGATAGTAATAGATTGCTGGATATCAATTTGATCAATTGATTCATCAAAATAAATCATATTCGATCATATCAAGTTATGGTTAGTTTTTTAAATGTGCTCTTCAAAACTTGAAATGTATAAGAATGTCAAACATGCTTAAAGTTTTTCGTTGTTGTGTAGGCTCTAAATAGGTCCAATCTTTTACATGAAAATCGCGTTGGGTTTATGCGTGTTGTTGATTGTAAGCGCCGATTTTCTCAGATCTCGAATTTTTGAAGGAACATTAACAGTTTGAAGAAAAGATTTATCAACTTTTTGCAACAGCAAACATGAGGCTGCCACATAAACATTCTTGCAAACGATGAAAACTGATGTTGTGAAATGCGGTTATGAAGTGAACTGCGCAAATTTGTTAATAAAACGCATGTGAAGATACTGTCTTTGGGAAGAAAACTGAAATCCAAAGTTTGAAACTCTGAATTTTTGAAAATTGTGTTTTGGGGCACATTTATAGTGTTATCAGTTAAAGTATCTCTTGTTTGACTAGCTTTTTAATATCATCTACTACCTTTCTTCACATTTAAGCAAAATATATTTGGGTAACGTTAATGCCAACAGCTCTATTTGCAATTGTAATCAAACCAAACAGTTTTTCGCAAATATTTCAATTTTTTGGGAACAGACACCACTTCTTCAGCAGATCAACGCCAAATTTGAATCACGCTGTAAAATGACTTTAATAGTACTTCTGATTAAACGAACAGCACAGCTTTTGTGCCGTTCTGTGTCATGTTTTAAATTATTAAGTTTTGGAACAAAAAAATTCCACTAAAAAGTTGAATAAAATGCAAAAATAACATCGCTTGAAAACGAAAACAGTTTTTATATGACTCTAATATTTGTTTCATTTCATTAGTTTCAGCGTCAGGGGAGTTTAAATTTGTAAAGACCTAAAGCGCTGGTTGTTTCTTGTTCTTAGAAACATGCTCTTTTGCTACCCCAAAATTTATATCGTATAAATGCAAAAGACCGATTTTCCGAATGCCGAATAGGACATTGGCCAAGCAAAATATTCCCTGTCAAAAAATGTCCAGTGCAATTAAGGCCGAGTACCTGAATTTTTGGAAGGATATAATTTTTTGCCGGCCTTTCTTAAATTGTGGTTTTGCTCTAAGTGCCTTTCTTTGTTTGTACATGATAAATAAAGTAATATTTAATTGCAGATAAATGTCTCAAAAGAGATTCTAACGATCTCTAAATTCAATCGAATGATTTTGTTTGTTAGAATGGGCCGTTTTGGCTCTAAAGTGCCTTTCTTTCATCACTCAGTCATATTGCCCTGCTCTTAGCGTGGTGACAATTTTCAAATTATAATTCAAATTTTTTACATATTTAATACTGTTAATAACAATCGGTTAGAATTTCGGAATAATGAAAATCCGTATTTAACAGTATTTATTGCGTGTATTTGTCCATTGCCACCTCAGATTGAACCAGAACCGTTTATTTCGCTCAATAAAAAACGCTGTTATTAGTAAATAAAAACACTATATTACAAACAAATATTGTAATTGAATTGAAGCCTGTCCTAACTGAGTCTCTACTATATGACCAACCTCTGAGTAAAAAGATGGATCAGCCCTTGTATACCTACATTTCTACATGAACAACAATTTTAATACTTTACACTTTTTGTATTTACAGATTATATTTTGTTATTTAATTATAGTTTTAGTATCAAGTTTTTTGTTAATTGTTGTCCATTACAACGTAAATTGAAAATGCTCTTTGTATCTTTGTATTTACAAATTGGTATAACTGCAAGTAAACTAACATCAAAGTTAATTAGAATACTGTTTTTCTTTATGCAATGCAGTCCGCAAATTCTCGTTTTTTTTTTCATATTTTAGAAGATAAATGTAAAATTTTATTTCAGCATGTGCTCATTATTAAACTTTCTCTTTACCTTGCCGCATATTATTTCTCGATATTGCTCGTTGTTCCACTACGTATTCATAATTCCTCTATTTGACTTGAATAATATAAATTAATCGAAATATGATAAATCTTATAAAACCTGATTTGATCCTTAGCATGAACCTGTTGAATCGTAAACAATACCTAATAAGTCGATAAATCTGCATGTGCTTTTGATATGAGTTCTAAATTCTTAATAATGGCAGATATATATTTTCATTTAATTTTGATTATACTGTTTTTATGTTTGTTTTTTATTCGATGGCATCATGGCTGAAATGTCCAACAAATTTCAGATTGTTAGAGTTTCTAATGCATCTGCGTCAGTGCAAGTTAACTTTAGTGTTATTAAAGAAAATTAGTTTTGTTGTCGGATGGTTTGTGATTGATTTTTCTAAATCGTTGAGATCTCCAACGTACCTTCGAAATTTGAAGGTTTTCTTTTGATGCAAGAAAGAGAATTAATTTCAGAAGTGTATTTGTTATTTCTATTAAGTACATTTTTGATTATTTAGTTAATTTTGATGATGATGTGGTTTATTATTGAGAATTGAGTCGAAATATTTTAAAACTCAACAATTCGAAGGTTCATTTCTGCATTATTAAAGCGTCGAGTATTTGTTTGCATATAATTTTATTGTCTGATCATTTAGAAAGTTGTAAAATCTTCATAATCTGCTAAACGAAAAGCCAGAAGGCGCCGAAAAAATCAATTGAGGTCTCATGAACTTTTCATTCATTCAACTGGCCCTGTTTCATGTAGGTAATTATTTATATTTGCCTAATTTTTAAATTCTGTATTCAATTCTGATTAATTACATCAACAATCTGCAGAATTGATTGTTTGTTTTTTTTTATATATGGTCCTTTAAAAACAGTGTATTTGAGGTTAAATTATACAGTTAATATAATATTAATCGCTTAGTATTTTTAACCATTCAATTAATACTGGAGTGTCTGTACTTGTTGGAAATCATCGGCCTGTAAAATGGTGCGAAATTGCTGATAATTATGATGAGCTAAGTAATTCCAGTAAACATTTAATAGCCAAATAAGGACCTGAAGTACTTCTATACGACACTGTATTTAATTGGCAACTTAACATTACTTCATTCTGTGTGGTTTCAACACAATTTGAGTAGATGTCTGCTTGATGAGCTTAAGTACACGAAACTGTACAGCGAAAAAAAAAATGAGTTTGAAAAGAGTGTGAAGGCAATTCTTTGCTGATATTAATTTTCCACTTATGCAGTTTGATGTACAAATATTGAGCAACCGATAGAAAAAGTATTATTAACGAATTTTCTGCTTTTAATGTATTTTTTTTTGTTGGAAATTCTCTCTGTTAGTACTTCAAGAGCCTTAAAACATACCCAAAAATGATGTTTTTGTATTACAGTTTATAATATTGTTCATAATTTGGTGGACTTACACTCGTAATTTTCGGTCATTTTCGGCGGTGATTTTTTATTCACTTCGTTCTATCTATGAGGCACCAAAGCAGCCTTTGCAGTTTAAGGTTTTTTGTTGAGAAGAAAATGTATATTTCCGACATGGAACACTAAACGTTCAAAGTGATTATTTCATTTTCGGGAACAGGCCCGTTTCAGCTGCGCGTTTGCACATATTAAAACTTGCTCCTTTATTACTGCGTGTCTAATGTTTACGACTTCTGAGGAATAAGGCGTATACTTGGGCAAATAATTATTTTACAAGAGCTTACGTTTATAATTAACTGGACGTGCAACAGAGCATATGCAAACGAGACGCGGCATAATAAACCCGCACTCTGTTGGAGTTTACTTGGAATCCTAACGAGTCTGCAGAATAATGTTCGCAATCAATAATCTTTTTCCAGTCGGAACTTATGTTATGTTGTAAAAAATGTTATGAAAATGTCAAACTATGTTCAAATCCGCACACACAAGTAAAGTTTAACTTAGAAAAACTTGCTTAACTTTTAATAACTTAGGTATACAAAATTGAAGAATTGAACAAGATCAAATGCCAAATGAGAAACAACTTTTGCGGCAATGTGCCCAAAGTGTCACAAGTTAAAATATTATCAGCATTCAATGAATAATCTTTTCTTTACGGCTTTAAGGTTTTCTTCTGTAAATTTGCACAAATTGTATGAACTTTTAAGGCTTGATTTCCGGTCATTGTTCATTTTTGAAGCAGAACTTCAAAATCTCAAAATATCCTTTCGATGTTTAGCTGAAAACGAACTATATGCTTGTTAGCAATGCCTGAATTACCATGCACATCATTAAAACACTTTGAGTGTGCGGAAATAATATTGTAGATTATTTTTGCAAGTATTTACATATAGAATGCCTTGGACCATGGTTCCGAAGCCAAAAAAGCTGTCGCCCAATTTACACGCGTCACCTGAAAAATGAGCCAATAAATCAGACGATTTCTCAACAGACATAATAAATTTTCTGAACTAAACTAACGTTGAAAATTACAATCCTACGGTTTAATTAAAATACCTGCAGCCCCATTTGGCGCTTAGAAAGCGTGCAAAGCAGATGTTTGACGTGATTTTCATTCTGCTAGTTGACCAATCAACATGTACCGATATCAACAAACTTACTTTCTATCTAGGTATAACATTACAGTTAATAATATAAACTACATATTATATGAAGGCGCCACCAAATTTCTCATGGAAATTGGAAAATCTCATTAAATTTACATATATCCGGCACGATTATCCGAAGAAAAATATGTGTAAAGAATTTTTTTTAAAACCTGCTTGAATGCAACACGTTTTGCAATAATAGAATTATCGTTTTCAGAAGCGCATGTTCAGCAGTATGGGGAAGTTAACCAGCTAGGAGGAGTGTTTGTGAATGGAAGGCCCCTCCCCAATGCAGTGAGATTAAGAATAGTTGAGCTCTCTCAAGTAGGAATACGTCCATGCGATATATCCAGGCAGCTGAGAGTTTCCCATGGATGCGTATCGAAAATACTCGCAAGGTAATTTATAAATTCTCATCAGTTATCATCAATAAGAATGACCGCGCTCTAGATCTATGTGGGAATTTCTAGTAGTTTCTAGAATTTTTAAAAGTTTTCATTTTTTTGTTGATTACAACCCATTACTGAAATTTAAAAAGTTATCAAATTCTAAAAACTGGTACTTTATGGTTTCACAAATTTCGTCTAAGGTTAAATTATCTTAGGATAAAAGCGCGTTTCGTTTCGAGTCGCTATTAATTATTTTTAATATTTGAAAATCTCAAAAAGATGGTTCGTTTCCCTCTCATAGAAGAAATTTTAAAAAATTTAACAGAAGATATCAACCATTGCCGAAAGTCGGAGCTATTTATCCCTTCGTTTTCGAAAAAGTGAATTGTTTTACATAATATTTTGGATCATCCTCGTAACATAATTTGGGGCTATTTTTTGGAATAAAAAATACAAATTTCTTTTAAACGATTTAATTAATCACCAGAGCTGAAAGCACTCTTTTCTTAAAGCAAGAGAAAATTCGTTTTCCATTTATAATTTTTTCAAAGGACATGAGTGCATTGTTTTTCCAACGTTTGCCTTACGAAAAATGAGGCAAATTACTAGTATGGGTTAGTTTGGGTTGTATCTACTAGAGTTTGTTCAAGTAAAAAACAACTTTGACAAAATCGAAATTTATAATTTAATTACGAAAAATGGTGTAATTTCTAGCTTGAAAGAAAGCTATTTAATTCAGATTTCTCACCTAAACTCTTTAAAATATGAATTAACCACATATACAACACATTTAGAACAGGAAGAGAAAAAGATAGGGCGAATTTAGTGATAATATTTCTTTCTATTGAATTTGGCAGTTTTTATTTAATTTCAGAAAGAATGTTCCAACATAGCTAGTGAAAAGCGTGTTGTTGAATGATTTTATATGAAATAATGCTCCAAGCCCATATGAGAATTTTTTTGAAAGCTACAGAGCCTTAAATTTTTATTTTAAGGATTTTTCCTGGATCTCCGGGATTTTTTTTCAATTAGCCTCTATTTTAAGATGAATAGTAGAAGCCAATAACCATTTCATTTATATACAAGAGATGAAAGCACTCTTTGCGTAAAGGAAACTAAAATTCGTTTTTTATTTCTGATTGTTTCAAGGGATATAAAAAACATAGTGTTTCCACCGTTTAACGTTACAAAAAAAGCAAATTCACAAGAGCAAGCAATAAAAGTTCTTTTGAACAGAAATGCAATATTCAATGGAAAAGCTTTTTCATAAATGAATAACTTCAGCCGGCATTTCTGAAAATACAATCAGCCGGCAATCTACAAGTGAATGTTACATGTAAAACTCCCTGCGAAAATTCGGACTATTTGCGACAAAAATAGCTTTTCACTGCCTTTCAGAGCTTCTCAAGCTCAATTTTATCTTCAATCGTTAATTATTTATTTCCTTGTCGTTCTTGTCTTCTTAGATTATTCAACGGTAGGTTTATAAATATTCTACTTCTCTGTCTGTATAATCATATCGAGCTTATTTTGTGTGGGAAACAGAAAATGTATTT